AAGGAGCACCACCAAATCCAAGATGGCGGCCAGCAGGAGGCTGATGAAGGAGCTTGAAGAAATCCGCAAATGTGGAATGAAAAACTTCCGTAACATCCAGGTTGATGAAGCTAATTTATTGACTTGGCAAGGGCTTATTGTTCCTGACAACCCTCTGTATGATAAGGGGCCTTCAGAATCGAAATCAACTTTCCAGCAGAGTACCCATTCAAACCACCGAAGATCACATTTAAAACAAAGATCTATCACCCGAACATCGATGAAAAGGGGCAGGTCTGTCTCCCAGTAATTAGTGCTGAAAACTGGAAGCCAGCAACCAAAACCGACCAAGTAATCCAGTCCCTCATAGCACTGGTGAATGACCCCCAGCCCGAGCACCCACTTCGGGCTGACCTAGCTGAAGAATACTCTAAGGACCGTTAAAAATTCTGTAAGAATGCTGAAGAGTTTACAAAGAAATATGGGGAAAAGCGACCTGTGGACTAAAATCTGCCACGATTGGTTCCAGCAGGTGTGAGCAGAGACCCCGTGCAGTGCATTCAGACACCCCGCAAAGCAGGACTCTGTGGAAATTGACACGTGCCACCGCCTGGCGTTCGCTTGTGGCAGTTACTAACTTTCTACAGTTTTCTTAATCAAAAGTGGTCTAGGTAACCTGTAAAGAAAGGATTAAAAATTTAAGATGTTCTAAAAAAAAAAAAAAAAAAAAAAATAATAATAAAATAAAATAAAATAACACCATGACCTGTTCCTGGGATTATGGTCAGGAGGTATGGGGTAGGGCCTAGACTCTATCCTGAACCCAGATTTGGTGGTCTGGGACTAGCTCTCGCTGTACAAGATCACACTTGCCGGCCACTGACCACTCCCAGCTGTTATCTACACCACTTGGCAAGAGCAGTTTTATCTGTTCAGTACCTTCTGTAAACTTCTGGAAGGTAACAGCTATGTCTTTTTTTTTTTTGAGATGGAGTTTCGCTCTTGTTACCCAGGCTGGAATGCAATGGCGCGATCACAGCTCACTGCAACCTCCGCCTCCTGGGTTCCAGCAATTGTCCTACCTCAGCCTCCCGAGTAGATGGGATTACAGGCACGTGCCACCATGCCCAGCTAATTATTGTATTTTTAGTAGAGACGGGGTTTCACCATGTTGACCAGGATGGTATCGATCTCTTGACCTCATGATCCATTTGCCTCGGCCTCCCAAAGTGCTGGGATTATAGGGGTGAGCCACCGCGCCCGGCCTATAGCTATGTCTTAAGCCTCTTTGGCATTATGCTGTGTTGGGCAGATGGCACAGGTTCAATCAAAGCTTTTCAAATATAATTTTCTGACAAAATGTTTCAAGATCTTGACTCATCTTGAAATTTCTGCAATGTACCTAGTACACGAGAACAAGAGGCCTGGGTCATGACTTTCGGGCATATTCGTAGCGAAATGTCTTTTATCTTGCTCAGCGTTCCCCAGCTTAGCACACACACAAAACGTGACAAAAATGTGAATTCAAAGGCTTTTCATGTACCACAAGAGCCAGGGCATGGCAAGGTAGAACCCTGTCTTCTGAGATCCCCCACCCAGCACACAGAGGCTGGCAGCCTGGCAATGTCAGATCACAAGACTGGGTGACAGGGCGGCACATTAAATTTTCTTATTGATCCACATTAAATTTTCAAATCAAAATATTCATGAGATCCTACGGTGACCTGATGCGGTCGGTTCAATGGTGGCCCCCAAAAGCTACGTCCATGTCCTGACCCCTGGAAACTGTGAATGAGTTTATTTGGAAAAAGGACCCCTGTAGATATAACAAAGACCCTTAAGATGAAGAACTCACCCTGGGTCACCCAGGGGACAAGTGTCCTTAGAAAAGACAGAAGAGGGGAAGGCCATGTGAAGCCAGGGCAGGGACTGGCAGGCTGTAGCCACAGCCAAGGATGGATGGATGGCCTGTGGCAAGCAGCTCCTCCCATAGAGTTCTTCAGGCGAGCTCAGCCCTAATAATACATTGATTTGATTTTGAACTTTTGCCTTCCAAAATTAAGAAAGAATAAATTTCTGCTGTTTTTTTTTTGTGTGAGATGGAGTTTTGCTCTTGTTGCCCAGGCTGGACTACAATGGCATGATCTCAGCTCACCAAAACCCCTGCCTCTCAGGTTCAAGCGATTCTCCTGCCTCAGCCTCCCAAGTAACCGGGATTATAGGCATATGCCACCATGCCCAGCTAATTTTGTATTTTTAGTAGAGACAGGGTTTCTCCATGTTGGTAAGGCTAGTCTTGAACTCCTGACCTCAAGTGATCCACCTGCCTCGCCCTCCCAAAGTGCTGAGATTACAGGCATGAATCACCACACCCGGCCAATTTCTGCTGTTTGAAGTCTGCAGTTAGTGGTGCTTTGCTACTGCAGCCATGGAAAATACCAAATTGTACTCGGTCTTCCCATTTATACAGCAGGTTCTTTCTGTGTTTCTCACTACTTACATCTCCACCCATATAGTCTCCTTCTAGTAAAAGGATCATCCATGAACATTTAGGAGGTTTAGAACTACATATTACAGTAAAATGGTACCATGGGGTTCCTGATTCAAAAGCTCTGTCCCTTTGCGCCTCACCAATCCGTATGATTAAACTAGCAGCCCCATGACATTCTGCATCCTGCTTTTTTGTTGTTGCCGAAGATGTTTACCGTATCAACAGAAGATCCCACCCACGGCATTTCACTATAAGTTATTAACCAAGGGCCATGTTCAGGCTTCTGTCTGGCCTGGCTACAGATGGAAACGCTTGCTCACGTTTACGTGCCTGCATGTCTGTCTGTGCGACAGTGCGGTCAGGGGTACATGCACTGTGGTCTCAACAGGTATCACCACGTGTCATCTGAGGAAGCCCCACCAATCTGCCTCCTCTGTTTTCCTCATTGCTGGCCCATGAAGCAGGAGTGTCTTGTAGAAGCTTCTATCCTATCACATGGCGCAGTCTCTTTGACAAAGCTAGCATTCTTCCAGAGGGAAACAAAAGCCTAGTCATGGCTTAGACTTCCATCAACAACTTGGAACCTTGACTGCTGCACTTCTGACCTTCCCTGAGCACCTCCCCATTTGACCCAATGTAAACAGTTCCAGGTCAATTAGACTCCTTTGATCCTTGAGATGTTCTAAGGAATGGCAGGTACTACCCAGCAGCCCCTCCTGATGGAGGCCGTGGTGGTTCCCTGCCACCCCCAACCCTCCCCCCCGCCTCCATCAGTCACCTCCCTGCCTTCTTCACAATGCAGCAGGGTGAAAATATAAGTGGGTGTGTTAGAATATGAGTCAAACCGAGTCACTTCCTTGCTCTCACCTCCAGTGGCATCCTAGCCCTTGTAGAGTAAAATCCAAAACACTTGCCGTGACCTACAAAGCCACATGATCTCGACTGTGGCTGTCTGCAACCTGAAGTCTCACCAACATGTACTGCACTCCAGCCTGGAGCCGCTGAAGTTCCACAGATGATGAGGAAGGGACGAGGGCCAGGTGACCAGGGGCCCAGTGTCCTGGGGAGTTACGGAGGGTCTGGATTGGGGGTGGCCATGGGACCTGGAGGGCACTTTCTGCTTCCAGCTGCTCCCATGAAGGCTCAGGCCACATGCATGCACTGTCCTTCTCCTTCCCAAGGCTCTAGTTGTACCAGTCAATTGTTGAGACACTGGCTCCACCCTTCTTCTCCAACACCAACCTGCTGGCTGTGAGAAGACTTTGGGGTTCAAGCAACTGACTGAGGCAACTGCCAGCTTCAAAGTTCTAGAAGCTTCTTTTTTTTTTTTTTTTTTTTTTGGAGTGCCGTGGCACGATCTTGGGCCATTGCAATCTCCACCTCCTGGGTTCAAGTGATTCTCCTGCCTCAGCCTCCTGAGTAGCTGGGATTACAGGCACATGCCACCATGCCCAGACAATTTTTGTATTTTTAGTAGAGACGGGGTTTCATCATGTTGACCAGGCTGGTCTCAAACTCCTGACCTCAGGTGATCCACCTGTCTTGGCCTCCCAAAGTGCTGGGATTACAGGCATGAGACACCATGTCCGGCCTTGGAGCCTCTTTTAGTGACTCTTCTACCCTAAGTCTCAGCAGTCCCACACAGGGTTCAGTCTGAGTTGGCCCTGGTTTCTGGCAGTTGTTCCTCCCTTCCAAACCCTTACTCTCCAGCATCCCACCTGTGCCACCTGGCCGCCCCACCTGCTCTCTCAGACACCTGTGGGCTCTGGCACTGCTATCCTCTCCTGAGGAGTGACTCTTTCCTGACTGACACCCTGCCCTATTTAGCTGGTGGGTCATAAGTCAGAGGTTCTGGAGCTGGCTGAGCATCTGAGCGAACGGGAGCTCTCAGAGGTCAGCTTAAGGCCCCATCCCAGGTGATGACACCACAGGCCTCTTGGATGCTTGGACTGATCACTGGCTCCATCCTGAAAGACCCTCCCTTCTGTTTCCATGACCTTCTTCAGTTCTTAGGAGCCTGTGACTACTCACTTACTGGCCTTCTTGGGGGCCCCTCCTTTCTCCCATTCCTAACTGCTGGAATGCCCCTCCTTGCTGACTGACACTGTGCTTCAGTGGGTGACCTCATGGGCTCTGATGGCTACAGCCAACACCTTCGGGCCAATGACTTGCAAGTCTACCACAGTATTCCCTTCCGATACATAAGGCATGCAGAAGTGAAAAAGTGGGATGGTAGGCGATGACTACGGAGATGAGGTACATCTTCTGATGTTCCAAAGGCCTCTGGCATGTGCCTTCTAGCTCTATCTTTCCCCAATCTCCCTTCTGTATACCTGCCTACTTGTGATAGGTAGCTAGGGCCACAGTGCACTTCAGGGCCACTGAGAGCAGACTGGCTAACATGGACCTTCTCATCAACAGAGTATGGTAACAAACCAAACTAAGCCCTCTGTGTCACTGAAAACACGAAACCCATCACCGTCCATCTGGCCTTTCTGTTTCAGGATCCCACCCTTCGTGTGGCACTTACCCCCAGGTACTCCGTAGTCAGAAGCTTCTCTCCTGAGAGTTCTCCAAGCTGGGGCTGGATCAGTTCGTCTTTGTCCAGATCAGCTTCCATGATGTCATGGTCCTCCTGTTTCAGGAGACATGGGGTGAATGCCTGGACACCCTGCCATAAGCTCCCAAGGAGTGGCTCCCCAGAATGTGTAGCTGTCATGAAACAAGAAGGCCTCTGCCAACTACAGCAACTAGCAGGCTTAGATTCTAAGGGGGCTCAGGGGCAGTCTGCCTCTGCTCCCAACCTCTCCATGAAGACAAAAGGCACAAGGCCAACCAGCCTCTTCCGGAAGCTGGGCACCTAGGAAGCCTCCATCACTTAGGTGTGTGGAGGTTGTTCTAGAGGACTCTTTAAAGTCTCTCCTAATCACAGTTCTCAGAACTTCTCTCCCTGTGAGGTCAAGGCACCATAGGAACAGCCAGTCTGTCACTTTTTTTTTTTTTTGAGAAGGAGTTTTACTCTTGTTACCCAAGCTGCAGTGCAGAGGCATGATCACAGGTCACTGTGCCCTTGATCTCCTGGGCTCAAGCGATCCTCCCCTCTCAGCCTTCCAAGTAGCTGGAACTAGAGGTGTATGCCACCACACCCGGCTAATTTTTGTATTTTTTTGTACAGACGAGGTTTTGCCATGTTACCCAGGCTGCCTGGGTTTTCTTTTTGCTTCATATATGCCACATTTGGAGCCCAAGAAATCAACAACCCAGAAGTGTCAATGGTAAAGACAAAAAAAAAAGTCCCCCAAAGCCTGCTTTTTAGCCAAAGGACCAGGACAGGGAAGGATTGGCATGACAGGAAAATTGTAGGAAATAAACACCAGAGAGAGCACTGTAGCTCCACTCCCAGCTGCACCAACAAGGGCCTCGGGAGCCGCAGCTGTACCCTCACCAGGCTGGGCTGTGCACCCCAACACCCTTGCCAGTGATACCAGAGAAGGCCAAGTAGGCAGCAGTTTCATCCTTGCTGGGCGGTAAGGAGGTCCCCACCCCACAATGTAAGTGGAGACCAGGTGGGAGCTTGGACTTGTACCCATACTTGGCAGTGAACAGATGCCCCTCATGCCCTTCTTGAGGTGGTGTCAGAATGAGTCATGCAGGGTGCAATGAATGACGTGACACTCTTGTTACTTCTAGGCAGGGAGGCATTAGTGGATGCCTAGTGGGGGACCCAGGAACCCCCATCATCTGGTGTCAACCACGCCAAGCGCGGAACCTGGAATTCTACTCATATCTGGCGGTAATTAGGAGTCCCTGCAAGGAGTCCCAACAAGGCAAAAAAAAAAAGGGAAATAAAAGCCATACAGATCATAAAAGGAAGAAAAACTATCCCATTTGCATATAATATGACTGTCTGTGTAGAAATAAGGAATCTACGAAAAACCACATACACATAGAAAAATCCTCCTAGAAGTAAAGAATTCAAAAAGCTCACAGGAGAGAAGAAAAATACATAAAATCGATCCATTTATACCAGCAAGGAACATACAAACATTGCAATTAAAAATATAATACCAGCCGGGCACGGTGGCTCACGCCTATAATCCCAGCACTTTGGGAGGCCAAGGCGGGTGGATCACGAGGTCAAGAGATCGAGACCATCCTGGTCAATAAGGTGAAACCCCGTCTCTACTAAAAATATAAAAATTAGCTGGGCATGGTGGTGCGCGCCTGTAATCCCAGCTACTCGGGAGGCTGAGGCAGGAGAATTGCTTGAACCCAGGAGGCGGAGGTTGCGGTGAGCTGAGATCGTGCCATTGCACTCCAGTGTGGGTAACAACAGTGAAACTCTGTCTCAAAAAAAAAAAAAAAAAAAAAAACATTTACAATTGCTCAAAACAAGAAATGAGCATAAATCTAACAAAACATGTACATTTGTATGTTGAAAACTATAAAACTCTAACGAAAGAAATCTGTTGGGCGTGGTGGCTCATGCCTGTAATCCCAGCACTTTGGGAGGCTGAGTTGGGGCAGATCACCTGAGTCAGGAGTTCAAGATCAGGGGAAGAGTTGGCATGGCCTGGGCAACATGGCAAAACTCCATCTCTACCAAAAATACAGTTTTGCTCTTTTTGCCCAGGCTAAAGAGACCTTGCCTCAAAATAAATAAATAAATAAATAAATAAAGGCAAAAATAAAAAACAGTGGCAATAGCAATTGCTGGCAAGAATGCAGAGAAACTCAATCACTCATATATTGCTGGTGGAAATGTAAAATAATACAGGCCCTTTGAAAAACATTTTGGCAATTTCCTAAAGAGCTGAACATGCAACACTATAGAACCAGCAATTACACTCCCGGGCATTTATCCAGAAATAAAAATACATGTCCAACATGGTGAAAACCCGTCTTTACTAAAAATACAAAATTAGCCAGTTGTGGTGGTGGGCACCTGTAGTCCCAGCTACTTAGGAGGCTAAGGCCGGAGGATCACTTGAACCTGGGAGGCAGAGGTTGAAGTGAGCCAAGATCACACCACTGCACTCTAACCTGGGCAAAAAGAGCAAAACTCTGTCCAGAAGAAAAGGAAAAAGAAAAGATCCAGATAAATACAGAAGCACACCTTGTTCATGAATCAGAAGACTCAACATAGTTCTCCCCATATTGACATACAGGTGTAATGAAGTGTCTATCAAAATCCCAGCAAGATTTTTTTGTAGTCATAGGTAAGATTATTCTAAAATCTACATGGAAAGGACAAAGAAAATTGAACACACTAAGACAATTTTGAAAAAGAAGAAGAATATGGGAAGAATCCATCTACATGATTTCAAGCTACAGTAATCTAGATTATATACTACTGGCAGAGAGGCAGACACATAGATCACGGGAGTGGAACAGAGAACTCCAAAACGGACCTATACAAAAATGTTTTGTGGATTTTAGACAAAGGTGTACAGAAGAAATTCAATGAGAAAAGATAGCTCTTTCAACGAACCGTGCTGGAAAAATTGAACATTCATAGGAAAAAAACTGAACCTCAATCTAATTCTCACATCTCATTTAAAAATCAACTCAAAATGGATCATGGACTTAAGTGTAAAACTAACACATTTTTAGAACAACCCATACAAGGAGAAAATTGATAAACTGAATTTTACCAAAAAATTAAAAAACTTGCTCAGTGCAAAGACCCTATTAAGATGAAAAGGAAAGCTACAAACAGGGAGAGTATTTGGAAACCACATATCCAACAGAAGACTAGTATATCTAAAATATATAAAGAACTCTCAAAACTCAACATTCAAAATACTCAATCTAATTAGAAAATGGGCAAAAGACACGAAGAGACCTTTCACCAAAGAGGATATACGGATGGCAATAAGCACATGAAAAGAAGTTAAATATCATTAGCCACTGGGGAAATTGGCGGCACACACCTGTAATCCCAGCTACTTTAGAGGCTGAGGCGTGAGATCCCAGCCCAGGAGGCAGAGGTTGCAGTGAGCTGAGAATGCGCCACTGCATTCCAGCTAGGATGACAAGAGACCTTTTCTCAAAAAAAAAAAAAAAAGGAGAAAAATGAAAAACAGTGGCAATACCAATTGCTGGCGAGAATGCAGAGAAACTCGATCACTCATACATTGCTGGTGGAAATGTAAAATAATACAGACCCTCTGAAAAACATTTTGGCAATTTCCTAAAGATCTGAACATGCAACAATATAGAACCAGCAATTACACTCCCGGGAATTTATCCCAGAGAAATAAAAACTTGTTGGCATTCAAAACTCTGTATATGAATGTTTCATGGCAGTTTCATTCATAGTAGCCCCAAACTGGAAACAGTAGATATCCTTCAACCAGAGAACAGGTAAACAAATTGTGGTAATACACACCACAGAATACTACTCAGAAAGAAAAAGAACTACGGGTGTATATAACCTGGATGAATCTCCAGAGAGTGATGTTGGTGAAAAAAGCCAATCCTCAATGAACGCATACTATATCATTCCATTTATATAACATTCTGGAAATGACAAAATTATAGAAATGGAGAACAAATTAGTGGTTGCCAGGGGTTAAAAGGCTGTAAAAGGGATCCCTCTATGAGGGATCCTTGAGTGATGGAAACATTCTGATCTTGAATTAAAAACAGAGGAGTTTAAAAATACAATGAGCCTATGCGAGACATCACAAGGCTATGTATAATGAAATGTCAAGTGAGCAGCACACACATTTACACAAAGGTAAATAAAGGGGAGGATGCCCTGCTCCTTCCTAGTCCCTGCCAAAGCTTCCTGCTGACCTTAGACTGTCCTTTGCAGGTTAAATTATAAAGAGCAATACAAATATTAACCCAGAAAGAAGGAAGCTGATGGCTATGGTGGGGAAAAGGGAAAGGAGGGGCCCTGGAGGAAGGTGGCAGCCAAGTGCTGGTGTGGTCTGGGGTGCAGGGGGAGGGCAGACCATCATCTCCTGGTGACAATGTTCCCTAACATCATCTAACCAGTCCTTCCCTTGACTCCTGGCCCACCCAACAATCTAATGACTATAATTGGCTCCTTGAAACTTGCCAACAGGAAGACAAAGCTCTATTCTGCAAACATGAGTACCCTATCTTCATTTCCAACTAATTTCTAGTCATTTAGGATGTTCTGGTCTTTGGTGAGTTTGATTTGCCGGAGTCAGTTTCCAAGGGCTATGAAGGCTCAACCTCCCGGGCCTGGGGGTGGGGGTGTGGCTGGGAACTAGGCCCTGAAATGTGATGCTGCCTGTCCTAGGGTGGCCCCTGGGTAGTGCTGTGCTGGGGGACTCTGCCCACCTCTACAGTGTCTCTTTAGCACACAGTCAGTGCCACCTGCCATCACTAGATGGTGTCACCTTGGGATGGGCTGTCCTAAGAAAAGGGGATTTGGCTTATTCTAGGCTGCCCCCAAAGGCAGGCCTGAACCAGCAGAGTAAGAGGCAGGTTCTGGATCAATCCAGAGCCTTTTCCAACAATCAGCACCTTCTTACTCAGGGAAGGGGCTGCAAGGAGATACTACTCCGGCTAGCTTGCATTTGGGGGCATTGCCTTGGTGTGGATTTGTTTTGTTATGCCTGCTTTCCTGGTGTGGAAACAGACCCAGAGAAGTGACAA